GTCCGTCTGTGTGAGTTATTTGGTGTCAGCTTGGTGTGTCCTGGCCTTAAGGGACCTAACCAGGCATGAGCTTAAACAACTTTTGAACTTGATAACATTTGTTTGCTGCAGGCACAGGTGAATGTGAGGCATTGTAAGTATAGAGAGTTTGAGGGACTTGCAGTTCTGGAACAATTATCAGCTTATTGTATAATATGTAATTGTTCTGTCAGAGGATCATAGAAGGCCTTAGGTGAAGGTTAAACTTAATGTGCTCCTCTGATCTTTTCATGTTGGCAGCTGTGTGACAGGAGGCTGAGGAGGGGAGTGATTTGTTGTAATTACTTCTTGAATTGTTGCTGTGAGAACAGTCGCAGAAGTTGAAACATGACATTATCACACTGACTTATGAAGGACATTTGTGTAATCTGTACAAAAACACTTTGAACACACACTGGTTTTGGCGTTTTATTATGTTGACCGTTTGCAGCATTAGACATTTCTCCTGTTCATATGTCAAACCTGTGACCTTTGTCATTGGTGTTTTCTTATGTCACATTTTTCAGTCTTTCCCAACTCATAATTTCTCATCAGACACTGGGAACACTGTTAGCAATGTAGACAAACTGAAACACATATTCTGGAGCTAACAGATTAAAGACATTATAAATAGGGATGTCCCGATCACCTTTTTTTGCTCCCGATCCGATTCCGATCATTTGATTTTGACAATTTGCCGATACCGATTTTTCCCGATCCGATCTTTATGCAATGCATTAAGAGAAAAAAAAGCATTCAAGTTGTCCCTTAAGGTTATTTTTTTATTTAAATTGGATATTCTATCCAACATGGATATAGCTTCTTTCTTTCACAGCAGCATTGGATCAGTTCAGTTGTGCAGCATTGGATCAAAACAAAATAAAGCTTATCAGTACTCGTTAGCTTACTGCTACAATTAGACACTGCGCCCTGCCCACTCTGTTGCCAGATTTGAGAGAAATAAGCAACCAGGTCTATGAAAACAAGCCCCAAAGAAGCAACACATACATGATGTTGTGTAATTTGAAACCAAAACTAAGGCCTCAGGATGACTTTAAGACTTGAACATGGTCATTTTTGTTTTGTAACATTGAATAAAATAAAATAAAAAAGTATTTCAAAAAAAAAAAAAAATCCCGATCCCCGATTTTTTTCTCCCGATTCCGATCTTTTGAAAATCACGTGATCGGCTCCGATCCCCGATCACGTGATCGGATTGGGACATCTCTAGTTATAATGTTAATAAAAGCCAAATGTTTTGACGCTATAGCTGTGCGACTTTAAACACGAAGCACCTGGAGTCAAATGATTTAAACAACATTATTTTCGTTGACTTTTCAATATACTTTAAGTATGAGGAGGAGGCAGAAACTAACTCGACCTGTTTTCTTCCAGGAGGAGGAGGAGGAGGAGGTGTTGGTTGAGGAAGAGGAAGAAGAAGAGGAAGAAGAAGAAGAGGAGGAGAGAGTGGAAATAGATGAGGTGGAAATCGTCAACGTGATGCACTCGGCGCCGCCGGTGATAAAGACCTGCAGGAGGGAGGTGAGGACGGAGGTGAGGGAAATGCCCACGGAGACGAAGATGGACACGCGTTACTTCGGAGAGCTGCTGGCCGAGGTCTACAGGAAGAACTGCGACATCCACTCCTGCATCTCCGAGCACGTGTCCAAGATCCGCGGACAGTGAGTGCATTCCAGACGTTCATCCGTCCACATTAGGGATTATAAGAAAACATATATCATTGTATATTTTTATAAATGATGTCCTCATGGCCAATTCATCTTAACCTTCTAGGGAAGTTCCCGAGAAGCTATTGATTCAAAGATTCATCGTCATATGCACATAAGCTACAGTGTAGAAATGGCAATGCAATTCTAATGACCTGAGCTCCTCCAACATTAAATACAACGACACAAATAAAAAACAGTTCAAGAAGTCTATATACATCTGTACATATTGAGACATGCTTCAATGTCTGATCTTTGAGTTTCATAGGGTTTATAATAGGAAATGTATCGACAATTTTATTTTTAAAGTTAGTGATGTCCACATCAAATACAATTAGACAACATATCTTACTTTTTCAAACATCACGCAGATTCGGTGCAACGCGTCACAAATCCTGCTATCAAACATTCACCGGTTAGCCTCGGTTTATTTTCCCACTCTGTAAGCATGAACATGAATGCATCATTCAGATGTTCCTGAGTTCATACAATTGCAGAGGAGGGGTTTAGTTCAAAGTGCTGGGTATGTTAATATTCAAATTTGATGTTATACAGTGCAACTGGCGGCCCGCGGGCGCTGTAACATGACAAACTCACTTTTTCAGTGCCTGTGATCAAACATTCAGACCGAGGGTGAATACAGGTATATTCAGACAGACAGTATGAGAAGTATAAAGTGTTATTATAGCAAGTAAATCAAGCAAACTTGTTCTAGTAGAATACCGAAACACACACAAGTATGAACCTGAGAACACGTAGGATATGTCTCCTTTAAAACACCAATATCATCTGCAAAATATTGCTTGATTATATCCTGTATATGTAGATATCAAGATACATGGTCAGACACGTATTTCAATGATTAAACATCAGACTTTGTTGTAGGAAGCAACTCAATTGATAACAGGATTTAATTAACAGGACCCCGCACGATTCGAATGAACTAACTAAATAAATGCAGATCAATTATAAGAAACAAAATGAATATTCATAAACTAATTTTCACTTTATTTGGTATAACTTTGGATACATGCACAAGAGTGTATATGCAATGACAGTCCCACTGATCTTAAGAAATGACACACTAACTAAAGCTCGTAGATATGGCGTTCCTCCCTGACACTGACAGGTTCACAGCCGGTATTTCTCATAACGCTTCTGATCTGATCATATCAAGTTGCAGGAAGGTTGGTAGAGTTCTGAGAACAGCCGTTGGATAATTTTTATTGGAGGTAGCAGCTTGGCTTGGTGTAATTATCAGCATGCTGGAACAGGTGGAGGCAGAGTTTCGGTCGAGTTAATCCTTGTGTTGAACTCAAACTGCTCCTGCAGACACCACAGGGACCTTTGAGGAAAATACGATATCAAAAATAAAGAAACTCAGGTAAAGAATATCTGGGAAAACTTTGAGTTTCAGTTCAGCCACTCAAAATGACTTGATAAAAATCAAGCCAACTAAGTTTGTAAATACAACACTCTTCAACGACAAGGCAATCCAGTGCTTTACAAAGCACATTGAAAGCATACAGACATAGTGCACAAGAAATACATTGAAAAGTGAAATAAATATAAAGGCCCAGATACACCGGCCCGAAATCGGCAGTAAATGGGAGTCAGGCCGAACATGAGCGTGGGCACGCCCTATTCGGAGTGGTGTGCGGAAGTCGGACAAAGGGATAACACTGATTGGCTTTTCAGCTAGCGAATCAGTGCATGAGAAGCGTTAACGGAAGTGAGGGAGGTAAACAAATGATTTAACACAAGCGTGAGTCCAAGAGCTGCTAGCTCCAGTACCTCCCGTTCGTCCTGCTCCTGTTCGTTCATGTTTTCAATGGACGAGAGTGAAAATGGAAAGAAAAACGCTATTTGTTGTTTGTTCATATCACGGAGTCTGTTCTTCTTCTCTGTCTTCCGGTTGTTCCGGTTGTTGCCTCTTTTGAATGATGAATACACACTACCGCCGCCTGCTGGTAAGGAGAGTTATTGCCACTCACGCATGCGCAGTTCATACGTGCTCGGCTCGGATTTGCGGTGTGTTCCAGTGCGCAAGGTCGGCGACGCAGGAGAGTCCGGCGACGCAACAGTCGGTGTCGGCGTCGGCGACTTCTCAGGTGACTGGCCGGTGTATCTGGGCCTTAACGGTTAAAAAGAGATGTCAATCATCAAAATCGACCAATGGGTTCCAGAGAAACGGCAAATACACCCATTTCCACCCAGATGACCCTAGAAGTAGTTTTTTGTGCTAAATCTCTCTTAAAAAGGTCAGATTTCACTTGTTTTGCATCAATCTTGATACAGGGTATTTATTATATATTATAGTTTGGATTCCTAAAGCTTTTAGTCTCCGATCCCATCATTCAAGGGTGGTTTTCACTTTAAGTTCTTTTTTTGACGGACACTATAATTTGCATTTTTTTACTATGTTCAATCTGAATTTACTTTAAAATAAAAAAGATTTTATATTGATTCTGACTGTTCTACATCCAACTCACAGGTTTATCATTACTTTGAGAAAAAAGATTATTAATTTACCCTTTTTAGAAGTGAAGTTATAGTCATTTGTTCTGGGAATGTCGTTTTCGAGCCTGAGGCCTGAAAAACAGGCTCGGGGCTTAACAGGTTAAATTCCTCTGTTCTCAGGGGACGGAGGACACGGCTACCTGAAGGACTGGCTGTGGTGGGGAGGCCTGCTCACCAGTAAGACTTTTATTTGATTTGCATTTTGAATGTTTTTTTATGTGAGCTATTTCTGAGTGAGTTGTATTTGCTATGTTACAAAGAGTCCAATAATAAGATGGATTTATTAATGAAACAAGTGGAGAACCCTGTAGCAAAGCAAACCTGAACATGTGATCAAATCCTAATTACTGGTTCAAATTATTTACAGATTATTTGTCAAGTATTTACATAATTGAGATTTTTTAAAGACAGAATTATGATCAGTTCCAAAAGTAAAAAAATATCATGATATCCAGGGTTTTGTGTTGCCAGTGATGCCAGAAAACAATATTTCTGTTCCTCCAAAACGGTATAATGACTCCAGAGATCTGAGTATCAAGCAGAGCGTCAGACGGCAGAGACAGCTTTGTTTTTACGGAGCTCCGACGTCACGTTGTTGTTTACGTCAGGAGACATCTTGTTTACTGGCTTCATCTTCTCCAGATAATTCATATATGTTATAAACAAGATCAGAGACACAGCACTCATACTATATCTTTCTAGATCAGTGGTTCTCAACTGGGTCAGGCCTCGGGACCCACTTTTTACTTGGTCAATAAATCGCGACCCAACATTTTGAAGCACTCAAATCTATTCAACAAAAAAACGTGCTGTAATATATACGCTTTTCAGAATACAATATTAATAAAAGTGAAGTACAGTGCATATATCCCTTCACAGAACTAAAGCATACTTTTAAAAAAGGTTTAATGAGTTGATGGAATCAAGGCTGAACTACCGGTATATAAAAAGGCACACATGCTGAAAACCCAACCCCAGCAGGGGGGGGGGATTCTCCCCCAGGAGATTTTTAGAAATACTAACAAACTATGCATTCTGGTACACTCTTAGAAAATCGGGCCTTCAAAATAAAAAAAATGTCTTCACTCACACATCCGCGACCCACCAGTTGAGAACCACTGTTCTAGAGAAACCCTGAAGTTATGACATTGTTGTTTGCTAAAAGCCGTTCTTTGAGCGCTTCCTCGGCTGTAAATCAACCTTCTTTAAGCTTA